TGTGTGTGTGTGTGGACTCCGTTAATTTCCAGATGATTCGGGTTGAAACAGGAGCTGAACGCTCCGAAGTGCTTCTGTGCAAAATTCCACTGCTGTGTGTGCAGCCTTCGAGGCCCTGCAGGTAATAGGTGTAGTGTGTCAGATTCCAGGCCTTTACTGCTGCAGGTGGAGGTGTAGTGTGTAAAATTCCACCTGGTGCTGCTGGGAGACGTACTCATCACCCTTTTCTCCACTTTGGCGTTCGCCTTCTGCTTTAGTGTTCGGTTGTTGTTGTTTTTTATGACCGAGAAACATCCTGAACGTGCACGGCCATACATCGTTGTTTTTCCCGTAAGTTTTTTTAAAGAGAAAAGCAGATCGGGTTGCCATGCAGGCGGGGTTTGTGTTTTCCAAAATGGTGGACTTAATGTGACGCTCCCCTCTGGGCAACAGGGCGTGCTCCGTTTCTGTACAAACATCCTTTAGGTGTTTGGGATATCCAGAGGGGGTGCACGGATTTGTGTTTATACATTACCATCAAACAAACCCAAAGGTTACGAGCACCACGGCCATGTTTCCAAACATTAGTACATGTTAAGACAAGCCATCCGCTGGAGGAAAAAAAACAACAAAGTAGTCACATCTTTAGCCCGCTGCAGCCCAGCTGAATTCATAAAGCTTGGGAAACTTACAAACACCATGACTGCAAAGAAAGTTGCCAAGAAAAAAAAAAACAGCAGTTCTGCTTCTGGCTGCAGGAAAAAAACAAAAAGCATCATCATCATCATCAAGGAATGTTGGAACTGCCCAAGAAAAGTCTCAAGATGGAAAAAAAATCCAAAAAAACATCTCTTCCAGATATCTAAATTAGAAGGCAGCAAGTTTTCAGCACCGACAAACAAACAAAGAAAAACAATCTTTCCMCAAAGTCTTTCTTTAAAAAGAAAAGCGTTTCGACCTATCTCGCCATAAAAAACTTCAACAATCCATACAGTAATCAGGCTGAGAGCATTTTTCCACAAGGCAAATGCTTCACTTTATTTCAAAATGACCAAAAAGTCTTTTTCCCCTCTGGCTACTTATGATCTTTTCCAAGGTTATTCAAGGGTTTTGAGTGATCCTCTTTTCTRGAAAACTTCTTTTTGGGGATCTCTCCGAGGGGGAAGGAATGGGAAAGGCTGGAGGGATTCTCCTTCCTTCTCACAATGCAGTCCTTGATGGCTTCTTTAATAACCTACGAGACATGCAGAAAAAAAAATAAAGATACAAAATGACGAAAAACATAATGAATCGTTTCAGTACACAGATGCTTGCCTTAACTTCGATAAAAGGAAGAAACCTCATGGTGCCACAACATGATTCATGACTGATTTATCAGATTATAAAATCCAAACACTCATAAATGATTTGTGGACACATAATTTATGAACCYAGAGTAGTGGTTTTGGTAACGGTAGGGGGTTTGAACAAAGAACAGTAGAAATATTGGTAGTATTTATTAAAAGAGAGCGCAGCTTTTTTTTTAAATGCAATTTACAGAACATGAAAAWGTCTGCAATTTAAATTGCACTTGTTGAAACTTGTTTATCTCTATATTGTGTACATATGTATAAAGAAACTTGTATAGCTCTCACTTAAACAACTAATATATATATAAAATTTCAGATACTGGAATGTAAGTGTGGAGAACACGACTAAATGTAAAAATGGCCTGCCATACTTGTGAGCTGAAAATGATCTGCTGCGCTTCCAGAGAAGGAACCGATTGTTAAATTAGCAAGATGGATTTATGACTGAAGGAACGTYCACATCTTTTTTCATCTCTGCAGTTAACTAGCAAAAAAAAAGACTCCATTGTGAAAAATAAAACTATGGTTGTTGATATAAGCTTCGCTCCTGCACATGTTAGCAAGAGGGAGAAATTATGAGGATTTATCCCCCGCGACATGAGAAAATATTGAAAGTTATCAAGGTAAAACATTACAAAGAAATTTACTCCCTTAATTAATATGACCCTCCTCTTTATGGAAAGAGATGACAGGTGGGGCACAGGTTCTGTTAAGGGGGCGGCCCACCCTCCTCTGGGAAACAGTTCTTAAACTGTTCCTAAAATATTTCAGTAAATTTTTTTTTAATTTGGTAGCTGAAATTTGAATCCCTACAATCACACAACCATGACAGTTGATGGATGCCACACTGTTAAAAACCATATGTAGACATATTTCTTTGTCTTGTTCTGTTAAGTGCATCTACTGCAATTATCTGCCRGTGCCAAAAAAATGACTAAGCATTCAAATTATTTCAAAGAGCTTTTGTATTCTCAGTATTAGTAATGCATAGGGTGTTGCTGCAGGCATTCCATGCATTTTTTTCTATGAGATAAGGTTGCTACAGAAGTGCTTATTAKCAAAACAAGTGTACCTGATTCAACTGTCAGGTAAATGAAATATCTTAGTAATCTTTACTCAGCAAGGAAGTGACTAGTATACAAGTCAGTTTGACCTTGCACACTAACACACCCACCAAAACAAGTAAAAACTTGTTCAATCTGAGCTCAAACGGGTCTTGGAAAAATTTTTAAAATTGCACAATAAATCACCACAAATCCAAAACTTCCCTTCCCTGCTGACAGCAATAAATAAAGGCAGATTTTAAAGAGAGAGAGAAAAAAACAGAGGAAATGAATAAATAAAAATCTGCTGTTCTATGCAAGCTGCTCGGATGAATCACTTGTTGCTTACACCCTTCAACTTTCGGACATTACTACGGCTTCCTGTTGCAAAAAAAAAAAAAAAAAAAAAAAAAAAAAAAAAAAAAAAAAAAA